ACTGCATGGCCAGTCCAACAGCTCAACACACACAAGTGTTTCCAGCAGACAGAAGTGTGGAGGTGGGGTGGAGTGTAGCATGAAGCCCTAATCCTAACTCCAATTTGCATCACTGATTGTTGCCAAACTGATGCAGAGTTTTTCTGAATTTGCAGAGGGTTTTTTTTTGTATTTGCAGTGTGTTGAGCTTGTGAGGCCACCGTAGCCTCTCTGAATCAGTGACTGACTTAAACCACATTTTCCTGTGGCAGGTGTGTGAGGCTGATGTGGGAGGAAACTGGAAGAAACTGGAGTGAAGTGGAGCATCGAGAATCGATTCACTCTCCTCCTCTGTTACCACTGGTTCCTCTCTAGGAAGACATGAACCAGATCAGACGACGGGGGAAATCACTGTGTGTGTGAGAGAGAGAGAGTGAGTGTGAGTGTGTGTGCTCTCATATGGACTGTATGCGTGCCTCAGTGTGGTGCTCTGTACTTCATAGCAGGGAACTAGATCTTCGGGGTGAGGGCATCTGGCCTGTCCTCAGCTCCCAAACAGGCTAATTTTAGGATCAGGACTTGTGTTGAGGTTAATTGGACTTAATTAGTCCATATGAAGCTGTGGGTTCTGGTGATCTAGCATAAAAGAGCCGGGGAAGGCTGAGGGTCCTCACAAGAACTGAAACACTTTCAAGTGTGTAATTTGTGCATGCCCATGTGCACAAATCAGTGTATGTTCCTGTATGTAAATGCCATATATGTGCATGTATATGATCACGATATGTGGGTGTGATGCTCTCCAGTCTATTTATGGTGGCTGCCTTTAGAATAGAAATACAGATTTAATGCTTCCTCTTTGATTTCACAGGATGAGCGTGAAGTGTACATGAGCTGTGGAAGATGTCTCCATTCATGCAGCTACGTTTTATCTCCCTATAGCAGTGTAGTGTAATGTGAAAGATACGCTTACCAAACCTCTCTGTAATCACTGGTTTGTCTTCCAGGTTCTATTTTATGGAGGCAGCAACATCCGAGGCTCCGAACATGAAGCTAACGCTCAGTGACAAAACCTGCAGTTCTTCTACTGCCCATTAGAGCGATTCTCCAGCATTGAGTCAATCCCCATAGACTCCCATGTTAAAATGTCCAACTTTACTGTTTTGGTCTCCACAGCTAATTCATACACCTCAAATCTCCTTCATGAAAACTCACTGGTTTACATTTTATTATTGCTGTGGTGTTTGAGTGACAGGTGGGTCAGTGCATGATTGACACGGGTGTGTAGCAAAGTCTCAGGTCCACATGTGCCACACCTCTTTGAAAATTCATGGATTAGCTGGGAGTTAGGGGGCAGAGTCAGACACTGCCAAGGTTGCGACAGCAGAGCAGCTCACTCTGCAGAAACCTGTGGGTGAAGTCATGGAGGGTGCGTCCATCTTGATTTACAGTATATTGTTACCACCAGAGGTCAGTGCCAGGAGCTCACCCGAGACAGACTGTGCTCCTCCATCTGTGTAGAGCAGATGCGTATTAAGGTGGAATATGAGGATGATTTCACATCTTTGTTTTTCATGATATATAATAGGAGCAGTTGGACTGTTCGGGTGTGGCTGTTTGCTGGATGTCAGCACTGTCACTGGCTGTGTATCAGACTGTAAGAAGTGTAAAGTCATCTTTAGTTTCCTTCAGTTCATTTCTTTTCCCTCTCACCTCTGGGTATTGAGGAAGTTTAGTCCCGCACACAGGGCTTTGGCTGAGTTTGAGCAGCTTAGAAAGAATCTGCCTCCACCTGTGTTGCTGCACTGATGGATTCTTTCTCTGGGATTTGCCTCATATTCAATCTGAACACAACTTAAAGGTGCAGCTGAAGTTCACATTTGACTGTGTGTGATTTCCTGGGGGGAGCAGGGGAGGACTCCCTCTAATCTTTACAACTGCTTCAGTATTTGTATCTAGGCAGGCTGCACTGTGAGAATGAATGAATTTCAGATCATTTTCTGTGAATATTGCAGTAAGTGTTGTAGCACCAGGCTGAGTGGAGCTCGGGGTACTGAAAAGTAGATGTAGCACCCATAAAATAAAAAACCTTTTAATTGTTGTGTGAGATCACAACCTTCATGTGTCTGCATGCGAGTGAGAATGTCTCACTGGCCTGATGACATTTTTAAAAATGGTTCTTAAAAGTTAACTTTTAAGTTCGAGCTGAATTAATAAAGTCCGTATTAATCTTACTTTAATGACTATTAGAAACATCTTCTCCTAGACACACTGCTACATCTCTCATTGTATGTCTGCTGCTGTGTCACATGATCTAGAGATTCAGTGTCCTTTTAATATCATATTGACATCATACCAGCAACATTACATAAAACTGAACTTTCCATGTAGCTTCAGTGTCCAGGCTGAATCTGAATATGGTACAATAAAAATGAACACACAAATGAAATGATGAATAATGTCTGCTGACCAAGCTCACTGCAGTCAGTGTGAACACACCTAGTCACAGCAGTGCAGCGACACACGCACACACACAGCTTCTCACACAAACACAACTTCTCATGTAACCTTAGGAAACAAGTGAATCTCCCCAAATGTAAAACTATTGCTCTAACATAATCTGATCAGACTGAGAAAATAGGACAAATGTAATATCATCATGAAAGTAAAACCACAGTTGGTTTCTGTGTTTCTGAGGCTGGATAAGTCACCTCACATGCAGTGCAGTAGAAGGTTTTAACTTTAAACATCAGATTAAATCACAAGGGAACTGAAATAGTTCAGGAGATACATTTCAAATATGTTTGGTTATACAGCACTTAAAGAACCTTCAATGTAATTCTGTTCTGAGTCCATAATATCCACCATGTATGAGGCAGAGATAAATATCTCTGTTACTCATCCACCTCACCCTGAGCATTGCTATCAACATCCTCAACCTTGTGTCGGTGAAGTTCTGTCTGTGAAGCTGTAAAGCAGGACAGAGCACCACATGACCACTGAGCAGCTTGTAGTCTGAACTTGACCTTTTAGCAGTTTCCTCGATTACAACACCTCTCTGTTAATATTACAGCCTTTAATATTTAACGCTCTGAACATATCAGCACCCACTGTAACTGGAGACTGAGTGCGGAGGTGTGCTGGGGTGCGTGCGCGTGAGTGTGTGTGTGTGTGTGTAGGCGCTGCTGGTCGGCGTGCCACATTAGATACCCTTACTGACAGGATATGAGGGCGCATGAGAGTGTGTGTCAGCTTGTGCGTGTGTGTGTGTGCAACCCAACACTGCCTCTCACACTCTATCTGTATTTAGCATCAGTTACCTTCAGGTAGAACAATTAGTCACTGAGGAGGTTGGCCAAGCAATTAGACTGGGAGGAAGTGGGATGTGCAGCACACAGCCCTGCAGTGCTCGGAATTAGAGGTAATAAGAGATGAAGGCAGTCCAAGGTTTTACCTGAAAGTTTGTTCCACCTCTGTGCTGCATAATTACATGGATCTAAAGGTGGAGGGAGTCATAATGTTTACATTTGCTGTTCCTCATCATGTCCCTCCATATAAACCCTTTGAAATGCCACTTCACTGAACATCTGAGGCCATAAACACAGGTGAAGGCGGAGGAGCTGCCACCTGCACTCTAAACACCTGCATCAGTTTGACAACACGTACTGGCAGTGTGTCCAAAGGATGCACAAAAAGTGACAAACCTGCCTGGATTTTTTTTTAAGTAGTTTTGGGGCTTTTTGGCTTTGATTGATAATACAGTTGAGAGAGACAGGAAATGGGGAGACAGAGAGGGGGAATGACATGCAGCAAAGGGCTGCCGGGGAATTAAACCAGGGCCAGATGCAGCAAGGACTGTAGCTTCTGCATATGGGACGCCTGCTCAACCCAGTGGACTATATGATACCTCTGACCCCCTGATACGATACCCCTGATCAGTTTTATTTCATCATAACATGTGCAGTAAACACATCACAAAAAGGTTGCCTGAAATGCGGTGAGTACATTTTGTTCCAGGTGCCATGCTGTCACACTCAGCATGCTGACATTTGGCCTATCCCTGGAACCCTGGACACATGGGCCATGCATACACAGTATTTAGCCAGGCAGATGAGCCCCAGCTCCCCTCACCTTTAAGAAGAGCTAAGAGGATGGTGGAGGCAGGAGAGGGTTAAATTAACATTCTGTTTAGTCGATTGGTTATTCATCTTTTTATTCATTTGGCATAGGCTATTCAGTGTTGGAGGTTATCTATCAGCAGGGTGCCTATTAAAGCAGAAAGACTCAGGAGCTGTACTGTACTGGGTAATATGTACTCTTCAAAATTTGCTTATTTATTGCAAGTCATATCTTCATCACAATACTGGACAGTGTCATTGCATGTCGCACATTTAGCTCATATTGTGCAGGCCTATAAGTCACAAAGCGTTAAACAACAAGTGCGTCCCAGCCTGGTTCATCACTGTCATGTGTGTGTTGTGAGATATTGCAGTGTGTGTGTCAAAATGATGAAGATGAAAAAAATGTTTTGTCTGTTTGCGTGTGTTTTCCTAAGCTGCTGAATGTTACTGCATCTGTGTGTCTGGGCAGCTGTCACACCAGTGGGGATGAAGCATCTAGATGAGCTCTGACCTCCACAGCTGTATCATAAAATGTGATTTTTTCAGACTTCATTCAGAAAGTATGTGGATGTGCCTGTTTGAACCAGCAGCGGATCAGACCTACCTCTGATTGGAAACAGAAGGTTGTGTTTGTTAGAAACAGTGATGCATCACTGATGCACATGAGTGATGATGTCATTACTCACTCACTCTATAACTACATAAAAAAGCTGTAGTGATGATGCCATTGTTTTGTAGCCTGACGTTGAGGTTTTCATCAGTCTGGTTCTGAGTTTTAGTCTTGTTAGCAACTGGCCTTTTTTTAAGTATAGTTTTTGGGCTTTTTGCCTTTAATTGACAGGATAGTTGAGAGAGACAGGAAATTGGGAGTCAGAGAGAGGAGGAATGACATACAGCAAAGGGCCACCAGATTCAGGATTCGAACCGGGGCCGGATGCAGCGAGGACTGTAGCCTCTGCATATGGGGCACCTGCTCAACCCACTGAGCTATATGGTGCCCCCTAGCCACTTTTTTTTTTTTTTTTTTTAACAGACCTAAAAACCTTAAGAATCTGGACCAGGCTATTTACCGGTGTAGAATAAAACATGAATATTCATGTTCATCTCAATAAAAACCCATTCAACAAAGCAGAGACTGAGGAGCAGATGAGGATTAATTCTGAGTCTGTGCGATGTGCTGCACTTACACCTGGCACTGCACACTCGAAAGTCCATATGCCATATACATCCCACTGACTGTCATTAACTCCCTTTCTTGGAAGAAGCTCCTCATTGTATAACTTTAATTTGCACTGGGATGTCTTGTCCGTGGTCTTAAGCTCTGAGCAGCGAACCCTTAAGATCCTACAGGTTTGCAGCTAAACCTCAACAGAAGGCACAGTAATTAATGCACATTAGAGGGCCCAATAATCTCCTGAGCCAAACACCCAATCAGCCGGCAGCTCTGTTACCCACGAGTCGGTGCGGTGTGTTAAGGAAGTATACACAATAAGCTGAGTTGCGGGGGTTCCCCCGGCCATGTGGAGAGGAGTATTATCCCACAGAGCTAAGCCTGCACTCAGCTGAGGATTGCACTTCTGAGTCAGTGTTGCTGGTTTCCCCTCACCTGCTGCTGACAGCAAAGCAGCATGGTCGCCTGACTGACCAGGAGCTCAGAAAACAGTGCTGCTCTCTCTCAGCTACGCTCACTGTGACTGGATGTACCATGGCTCTCCGCAGATCCCCCCCCTCTACCTGTGCAGGTGAGTGCCACAGTAACCTGTAGGAAACCCTCTGCCCCCCACCCCCACCCCCCACCACCTCCCTCACCCCCCAAAACAAAGAGGATACACTAGACAGGACCACAGTAGAGTAACCTGCCTATTGTCCCTCCCTGTTTGGCCAACTGTGTGTGTGTCAGCAGGCCATGTGGGCAGTCAGGGTGTACAGTTGCATGCAAGTCTACTGTAGTTTAATTTGATTATGAATTCAGACCCTCTGCACTGATGTCGTCTTGTCCTCTTGTTTCCTGAAGGAACCCTTCCACCACTTTTGAATGGGATGAATCAGTTTTTAAGGAGGACTGATTCTCAGACACGTGCTCCCGCTCTAAGCCTCAGGCGGGGCAGTAATCCGGGTTAGTTTACATGGCCGACTGCCGCTGTGCTTTACTGTGGGTGAGGTGAGGAAAGCGTTGCAGCTGAAATGAAATGATGCTTTTGGTTTGAAACAGCAGGGCGCCACTAAGCTCACAGAGTTGTAAACCCTGAGACAGGCTGAGGGGAGCTGCTCAGATGATGCCTGCAGCTGAGAACATGAGATCAGAGGAAGCAACGCTACAGCACAGGAACATTTCAGTGGGCTGCTCCAGGGGAAACGATCTGAAACGATGGAGGCAGGAGATATTGGCTGCAGCAGAGGAATAACTGGTTGGTGCAGGGATTTACTGAGGAGCTACTTGGAGCATTTATAAAGAGACTATTAAGATAAAGGGTCCTTGATTCAATTCAGTTCAGCTTTATTTGTATGGCACCAGATCATAACAATGTCCTCAAGGCACTTTACAGAGTCAGGTCAAGACACCGTAAAATAGATGTGGAGAAAAACCCACCATCCTGTAATGAGCAGCACTTGGAGACAGAAAATGTGAAAATACTCCACACTCTACATAATGAGTTGTGCTCTCTGTGTATGTTATGTTAAAGAACTGCATCAACTTTTGTGCTCCTCCAGAATACACTGTATCGATATGCAGAGGCGAACACTCCACTGTTGGTGCGTGACCTTTAACAGTGGTCCTGAGACAGCAACATTCAGCAACTGACACAATTAAAGACACAAATGAGCTGAAAGTAGATAAGTGTTCCCAGGGGACACTTGAAACCAGGTGTAGATGTGAACATATACATATATATATGTGTGTGTGTGTGTTCTTCACTTCTTTTAACTGAATACAACAGAGACCAGATGTTGATCATCTTTTGTGTACCCTGGAGACACTTTGTGTTGTTGGCTGTGCTACTGAACACAGTTAAGTTCAGACTGACTGTGTTGTGGTGTTTGCTGCACATATGTTGTAAAATTGATGTTTTTAGAGTCTGTGTGAGTGTGTTGTCTTCAGTTACAGCATGCTGAGCTCTCCAAGCCACCGCAGGCAAACATTATGTCAGACAGATGTTGGACTGACAAATCCAGTGTTAGTCCAATGGAAATGAAAACTGGCTTGACTTCACAACTCACTGTGAGATAACTGACATTGTGATGTTTGTGGCATTTATACAGCATGATGTCAGTATTTACATGCCAGGATCTGATTTGTGTTATTTAAATATCCTTATGGTGTAAAAGTAGACATCCCTGTGTTCTTTGACTGTAAAGAAGAGCCTTATAAGCAGCTGTCAGGATTTATGAAGCTTTGTACAGTCACAGCTATACCAACCACTCCAACCTTTTTTGTATTTTCACTTTATTACGACACAAACCCATGCAGTCATTCTGTCACTGGACCAGGAAACTTTCCTGATCTTGGAGCGCAGTAAAACGGCCTCAACACCCAGCTTTCCCATGAATACAACAGAGACCAGAGAGTGAAGTTTATTTTTTTTCTCAGGCCAGACCTTTGACATCACAGCCTGCCGCAGGCCAACATCCATCATTCTGCAAAATCAAGTTCAAACACAGAGGCACAGCAGTCATAATTAATGTCAGCACAGCAAAGTGCATCTGTAATGCTTTCCTGAAAATATGGAGATTTCTTATAGCTGCAGTACATCAGTGTTTTTGTTTGATCAAGAATGATTAATAACATCAAACCAGGTGAAACGGTTAAAATATGTTCAGCTTCATCTGCACAGTCAGAGCCAGAGCTGAGACAAGATGTGATAAAAGCATCAGCATCCAGTCTTTGTGCTGCACTGCTGCCCATTAGCTGTTCCCTGAAAGATGCCCTTTGTCACCGCCATTAGAAATTAGTGTGAAAATAGAGTGTTTATCTTACACAATCATTCTAAGAAACGAGCCAGGGAATGTTCCTATAGCTCAAAGACATGAAGGCACAGATCAGAGGAAGCCGAGGAAGCTTTTTCATGCTGATAGAGCCACAAACACAAACTTCTAGATGAGACTAAGATTGAACTATTTGGACCAAACTCCAAGCTCCATGTTTGGTGAAAACCAAACACAGCACACCATCCATAACACATCATACCTACTGTGAAGCATGGCGGTAACAGCACTATGTTGTGGGGAGGTTTCTCCTCAGCAGGGACTGGGCAGCCGAATACACCCAAATTCTTGAGTAAAACCTCTGCTAGGCGGCTGAAGATGGGCAGGTCATTCACCTTCCAACATAACAACGATCCTAAATACACTGCCAAAGGAACAATGCAGTGGCTTATGGATAGGATGGTGAATGTCTTTGATCAGAGTCCTGACTTAAATCCAACAGAAAGTCTGTGGATGGACTTGAAGAGAGTCTTTTTCCACTCACCACTCAATCTGACTGAACTCGAATGATTCTTCGGGGAAGAATGGATAAATACCCCCCAGTCTATATGTGTAATGCTAGAAGATTTGAAGATGTCCAAAGAGACTAATAGCTGCAACCAAAGCAAGAGGTGAGTCTATGTTACATCAGAGGACTGACGACTTTTCCAACTCATTTTCAGATCTCTCACCATGTGTTTCATTAGTTTGATGTTGTAAGGGTCAATTCATAAATTAAAGATGGAAAAGCAGATTTTTGATGGGTTTTGATTTCAGGCTGGATGACAAATAATCTTGTTATTTGACAGACAGGCAGGAATTAGACTCCAGCTTGTTTAGGTCTGGATCCGCACATATTCCATCTCTCTGGTCAGCAGACCTCAGAGCCGGGTGGCTCCTCTGACAGTGGCTCAGTGCTCACTGCAGTGGCTCAGGTTCAAATCCAACCTGGACCCTTTGCTACATATCATCCCCCCTCTCTCTCCTGCTCTAACCTCCCCATCATTCTCTCACTGTCTTTATCTCAATAAAAATCTCAAAATGAGAACCTTCACACTGCTTCTATTAGAGAGAGTGATAATTTCCGATTGGATGAAAGGTATTTGATTAATGATTTTAATACTTCTCTCAGTGGTTTCCTGTGATGCCCTGCTTCATCTTTATACAAGAGGGATTTTCTCATTCACGTCCCCTCCCACTAGATTCAGACTGGCGACCTTCCAGTTTCAGTCCTGCCTCTCTCACCTCCAGGCTACTGTGCTGCTGTCAAGTGAAACACTAACTGCTTGAAGAAACACCATGTGAACAGAGACCCCCCCCCCAAAAAAAAAAAAAAAAAAAACCTGGCTGACAGATTTCATGGTTTTACAATACGTGGAGTACAACTGTGTGTGTGCATGAGAGAGCAGATGACAGTCTGTATATGGTGCTGAAATGAGAGCACAGCACGTGGCCTAGTGCGTTACTATGGCTACAGCTGTCTGTATCCCTAAAATAATCATGCACACACACACGCACACACACACTAACCTTATTACAAAGATCTGTTGCAGCTCTTGGTACCAGACCACCAGATTACTAAAGATGTTTTGTGGCTGCTTGCACTGACAGGAAGTGTTTGGTGGCTGAGCAACAAGTTACCTGCTGCATCCTCTCCTCCCTCCACATGGGAAACAGTCATTTCCCTCATTTCTTCTTCTTCTGCCTTGTGTCTTTTGTTTTGTAGTGTTTTATTGTTTCCTTTGTGTTTGGAGACTTATTGATGAGAGTATGTAGGCTTGTCCTTTGTAAAGTGCTTTGAGGCAGTTTGTGATTGACTGACACATGCATCAATTTTCACAGTTTGAGACAAAGCCACATTGGGCCACTTTGCATATTTGTGGCTCCCATTGATGTTGAGTGGTGGCTAAAAATGTTGGATTTTCAAAACACAGATATTGCTAGACTGCATCATAACTCTTATTGTAGGGGTGGGCTTATGATGAAAAATCTGTGCTTTATGGGGCTCCTCAATGTGGTTTTAAGAACCAAATT